GGAGAGGAGAGAAGGTTGAGCGGGAGCTCTGAGTCTCTCTCGGGATGATCTATTGTAGAAGGCCCCGGCCTCCTGAGCGAGAGGGATGTCTGCAGGGAAGGATGGTGAGACAGCCAGAGGTTCCAGAACACCCCTTCTATTGGTAGTCATCCACTAGAGTTCTGGATCAAGGTTGGCAAGAAGGCCACATTCAGCTAGCTGCCTGTTTGGACGGCCCATAAGTTAAGAATGTTTTTCATTTATGTTTTTAAACGATTAGGGGTAGGGGAGGAGAAAAGGAAGCAACAGAGGCCATATGTGGTCTGCAGACCCTAGTATTTCCTACCTAGCCTTTTGCATAAAATGTTTACCAGCCCTGCTCTGAACTGTGACTGGTATGCTTCCCGCTGTAAGGGAGCTCACTGCCTGTCAGGTGAGTGGTCACGTCCTGTAAGGCCTTGAAAGCCGCGTTTTTCTCCCGGGCTGACTGTCCACCAGCAGTCTGAGGCTGGCGCTAGCCTTGGGTCCTTGCCCACAGTATAAATTCCTAAGAGTAATGCTTCGTCTCCCTGCAGTTCGCAAATGGCAAGCCTCTGAAAGCGAAAGCGGAGGGTCCTCAGGGACGCGCGGTGATGCAGTAACAGCTTACTCCGTGGGCCAGGCAGCGCACTCCACCTCCTGCCAGGGCAGGGCGGAAGTGGGAACTTCCTGTGTGGACAGCAGGCATGTGGTCCGTCACCCACAGCGGCTCGGGTGTGGGGGCAGGAGAGGATCATTCCCAACGAGTCAGACGTGACGTAAGCCTGCTTCCCTCCCCCCACCCCCCATGCTTATTTACCCCGGAGAACGGCTAGGGTGAGACATCGCTTTTAACCGGAAACCGAGGGATCTCACCTGCCCAGAGCCCACCCACTTCTCATGTGGGCCCCCACAGTGTCGCCGAGCAGGCCACGCTAGTTCAATGAGGGGGCAACTGGGCAGAGATCCTTAAAAGCCCCAACTCCTGACAGTCCCCCCCTCATAAGACCCTCCCTTTCTCCCCAGAATGCACCTTGGCAGGGTGAATGAGCTGTAAGGGAGCGGAGGAGAGGGGCAGCTGAGCCTGGGCACTGGATGGGCAGGGCTCTGCCTGCCATGTTGGGGATTAATTATGAGAAGAGAACTCTGGCTTCAGCAGGTGGGAGGAGTCAGGAGCAGAATCCGACCCAGGGCAGATGTTGCGTGAGGACCGTCCTTGAGGGGCAGGTGCCAGGGGCGAGTGCAGAACTGACAGGGCCTGGTGATTGGTCGGATGGAGGTCATGGCAGGGCCCAGGGTGTCTGCCAGGCTTGTGACGAGCACGTGGGATGAGGGCGCATGAGGTGGCATGTTCAGGAGAAGCCCGGGCCAGGCCTCTCCTCACACAGGAGCCGGGCCGAGGATGTTGCCAGTAGACATGCTGTGGAGGCTGGATCTGTGGGGTTCTTTTAGGGGGGTAGTAAGTAGGTTCTTCCCTTCGGGGTACCCAGCCCCTGCAAGGGGGGTGCTGCGGGCAGTGACTGGATGGAAGCAGTGATCCCAGGACCTCTCATTCTCCTGGCTCCCCAGGGATCTGTCTCCCTGCCTTTCCTGGGCCAGGGCCAGCTTTGAGCACCTCGTGGGGCATGGACCCGCAGGGGCCAGAGGACACACGGCCCCCACACCGGCAGCAGGAATGGAGAACAGGGCGTCGCTTCTTCCCAGAAATGTTGGGTCTCAGACCAAGAGGCAGGGCTCCACGGCACAGCCTCAGCTTGGCCAGAGGTGCTGTTGCGGGGAGAGAGGATGAGCGCGGGGCCTCCCAGGTGGAGGGCTGGGCTGCTCCCCTTTCCTCAACCCCATAAGGTAGCAGAGGGGCCCATGAGCCATGCAGGAGCCAGGCCTGCATAAGCTTTGGGCCCTCTCACTTGCCACTACAAGCAGGAGACTTAACTGGAGGTGAAGGGGGGGAGTCCAGTCACACCTCACTTGCACATATTCCTCCAGCCAGCCCCAAGCCAGCCCCAAGAAGAGGCTTACAGGCCTGAAATGCCCAGACAGACACCTCTGCCTGTACCCTGCAGCTCATGTTAGGCAGGAAGTCCTCACTCAGCCCTTACCTGTTGACTCTTGGTGCACAATTCAGACAAGTCCCATCTGCCGACTTCTTGGCAGAATCTAAAAAAGGTGGTGCGGGCAGTTCTGTGGTCGACCATCGGAACCACAGGGAGATTCTGAGAGCTGCAGGAGGCACAACTTAGGAGCCTCTGGGGCAAGCACCTCTCGCTGTGTGTAGGTCTGGTTGCTAAGGGCAGCAGAGAGAGTGACAGGAGGGAGCAGGACTTCCCCCGGATGACAGGTCGGGAGAGTGTGGGGCCTCGGAGGCATGTCGTGTATCTGGACCGTATCCTTATCCAGGACAGCTTGTTCTCCTCGGGGCCGATAACCAGAGCATTCCTGTTCCTGGCCGGTCCTCCTCGGGGGTGGCTTTGTCCCTTGAGGAACACAGGCACTCTGTTTTGTTTTGTTTGTTGGAACCCGCCTTCTCTCTGCCCTCAGATGAGGCAGGGGTTTCCAGAAGGAGGGCCTAGGGCCCTTTCTCCATGGACTTGTTCCTTCACTCACGAGGCGTCCCTGGCACCAGCTCTGGGAAAGGCCCCGGTGTGAATCCACTGGGGTCCCTGTCCTCCGGGAGGACAGACTTCTTGGATCTCAAAAGGTCTTAGTGTGGTAAGGCAGGGTGGGCCCTCCCGGCAGGGTAGCCACGGGGGTGGGAACGTGGTATGCAGGGCTAAGGTAGAGGCATGGGTAGATGGGAGGCTGGACTGATAGCTGGCAGGAGCCCTGGTTTGAGTTGTGAAATGCAGGCTTTGTTAGACTTCGTCAATGGTCTGCACTTCCCTCAGGGCAGGACTGGGACGTGGTGGGATCCCTTGGCCTAGGGATGGTGCCAGGTACCATGTAAGCACCGTAAGGACACTTCATTAACTTCCTACAGCGTAGGCATTTCCAATGTTGTCATTTGAGATGAGATCATTAGTCTTTGATCACGCTGGAGATAAGGACAGAGCTGGGACTGCCTTTGTGTCGAGGTCCCTAACCCTGTACTGTCTGGCTTCCCTGGGATAAATACGTAGATCATTGGAGCTGCCTCTCTCCTCCCCCCACTCCCCATGGCCCCTATCCTAACTCCCTAGAGCCCAGCCTGCCAGGTGTCTCCACACCTGAGACAGACAATGGCAGCAGGGCTGAGAAAAGATGGCTAGGGATCCACTGGAACCTCCGGCCAGGCCCAGCACGCTCATGGCATTCCTGGGACCGGAGGCCTCCGGTTCCCCTTTGGTGATTGTGCCTAACCGCAGCCTCCTCTTCTGCTAGACCCCTGGGACTTGGGAAGGTGAGGGAGGGCCGAGGACAGGGCCAGGGGAGGGTGTCTAAGAGATGCATCTGCCAAGTGTGCATGAACTTGCAGCATGATGCAGCAAAGGGCGCTGGGATGGGAACGGGGTTGTTTGAGCCGCAAGTGGTGAGGGGAGGAGGGGCACGCAGGTTTGTGAGTGGCTGATGCCAGGAATGCTCAGGTGACGTGGGCATGAATATGTGTGTGAGGTCTGTGTGCACAGGAAGCTGCTTCTGGGTACATTGGGCCTGTGCCCGCTGCACATGTGGCCGGGGAGGTCTGGCCGGTCCCATGGCCTTAGGTGTGTGTCTGCGTGTCCTGGAGTTAGAGAGAGAGGGTGCTCAGGCATAACCAGTGCCTCCTGCCTCTCACATTCCTGGGAGCCGGCCAGGCCCTCCCCTGGGGAGGGACGGGGATGGCGGGCAGGCCTGTGCTAGGACAGATGGCTGCAGTTCCTAGAACTACTTCCTCGTCCAAGCCTTTCCTATGTTTCCCGGCTGGGCACCTGGGAGAGGGGAGGGGGCCATGGGGCCTTCAGGATGGGATTTCCAGTCCAGCCACAAGGAGCTGGGCCTGGGAGACAAAAGGGTGGCAGAGTGAGTCTCATGAGCGTGGCTTGTGTGCACGTTGGCACACCGGGCCCTGAGCGTAGAGCCCGTAAGCTTGCCCTCCTTCCCTCCCTCCCCGGGCCTCTGGAATGGCAGAACCTGTCTGTCGGGCTGTATTTCCTCTCCCGCAGAGGGGGGAGGGGGGGAAACCTGGTGACAGGAGCTGGGGCCTTAGGTTCCTTGAGGAGAAAGGGGCAAGTGGGAAGGAGCACTTGCTCTCAACGCCCGGCTCTATGCCTGAACCTCCTCCACCGGGCATTTGCCGTCGTCCCCAGCAGGTCCTGCTGAGCACGCACCACCCACAGGGTGGGGCACCATTCCCCCAGCGGAGGAGAGCCAGAGGCGGAGCCCAGCCCCTATTCCTCACCTGGGGAAGCTCAGCCCCACAGTGGGGAGGGACTTGGCTCAAGAACATGCAGTAGTAGACCTGGCTGTTGTGACAGTGGTTGAACATCAGCCCACGAACCAGGAGGTCACTGGTTCGGTTCCCAGTTGAGGCACATGCCCGGGTTGCAGGCCTGATCCCCAGTTGGGGGGTGAAGGGGGCGTACAGGAGGCAGCCTAATCGATGTTTCTCTCTCTAAAAACCAATAAAAAACATTAAAAAAAAAAAAAAAAGAACATGCAGCTGAAACCGGTTTGGCTCAGTGGCTAGAGTGTCATCCTGCGGACTGAAAGGTCCCGGGTTTGATTTCGGTCAGAGGCCTGTACCTTGGTTGCAGGCACCGCCCCAGTGGGGCGTGTGCAGGAGGCAGCTGATCGGTGTTTCTCTCTCATCAATGTTTCTAACTCTCTATCCCTCCCCCTTCCTCTCTGTAAAAAATCAATAAAATATATTTTAAAAATACTAATTAATAAAAAAAAAGAGAGCACGCGGTGAGTTTAGGGCGTGGCCAGGTACAGGGCCCTCTTCGGCATCCTGCAGTAAGATGCCCGTCCTTGGGTGGCAAGTGCCAGGGAAAAGAGCCGCTGGGTCCTGGCCTCCCCCGCCCACCGGGCTGCTTCTCCCCCTGCAGGTGATCGAGGAGTTCTACAACCAGACGTGGTTCCACCGCTACAGGGAGAACATCCTGCCCACCACGCTCACCACGCTCTGGTCCCTCTCCGTGGCCATCTTCTCCGTGGGGGGCATGATTGGCTCCTTCTCGGTGGGCCTTTTCGTTAACCGCTTTGGCCGGTGAGCACAGGGGTCCCGGCCCCGCCCGGGGTGTCCCGGATGGGAGTGGGGGCGGTTGGAGGAGATGTCCCTGCCTATTCCCGGATATTCCCTAGGACCCAGTCCTTGGGGAGTCTGGGGGATCAAAGGACCCACCTGACCTGTGACCCTCTCCCCCACCCGCAGGCGAAACTCGATGCTGATGATAAACCTGCTGGCCTTCATGGCCGCGGTGCTCATGGGCTTCTCGAAACTGGGCAAGTCCTTTGAGATGCTGATCCTGGGCCGCTTCATCATCGGCGTGTACTGCGGCCTGACCACGGGCTTCGTGCCCATGTACGTGGGGGAGGTGTCCCCCACGGCCCTCCGAGGGGCCCTGGGCACCCTGCACCAGCTGGGCATCGTCATCGGCATCCTCATCGCCCAGGTGAGTGGGGCAGGGTCTGCTCCCCCCGCGCGGCCCCCGCCCTGCAGCCCCAGTGGCTCCTGAGAGGGTGTCCAGACAGCCCCCGGCTAGACCTCTCGCCCCACCTTCCGCAGCCCTGCCTCCTGGGACGGCCTAGCACGGGTCCCAGAGGACACGCCGCCACGCGTGGTTCCCCCTGGGCCTCTGTGGCAGGAGAGCACGTCCGGCCCAGCTCGCTCAGCCTCTGTCCTCGCCTGGGAACTCAGCCACAGGCCACGGAGGTGGCTCGCCTTGGCCGGGCTCTGCCATGGCTGCAGGCCTCCGTGTCTCCCCCGCACGAGCCCTCTCTGGGGCTGTCCTGCTCCTGTGCCTGAGAGGCCCGTGGACGAGGGGCAGTCCCCGTGCCCTGGGCCACTGGTCCTCTCACTGATGCCGGGAAGCAGGTCCTCCTTTCCTCCCAGTGAGGGAGCTGAGGTCAGAGAACTCGCAGCCTCACATCAGGGCAGAGCCCCAGAGCCCGCGCCCTTTCCCTGAAGCAGCACAGACACACAGCGGCCCAGGCCCCGGCCCGCAGGGGCTGCTTGTGGGGCCGGGGCTGGAGCGCTCACAGCCGCTTCCTCCCGCCCTGCTTCCCCAGGTGTTCGGCCTGGACTCCATCATGGGCAACCGGGAGCTGTGGCCCCTGCTGCTGAGCATCATCTTTGTCCCGGCCTTGGCGCAGTGCATCATGCTGCCCTTCTGCCCCGAGAGCCCCCGCTTCCTGCTCATCAACCGCAACGAGGAGAACAGAGCCAAGAGTGGTACGGGCGGGGCCCTGCCCCCTCCCCAGCCCCCGCCCCCGCCCCCGCCCGGCCCTCTTCCTGCTCTGAGCCGCCCGCCTCCCCTCCGTGCCCCCCAGTGCTCAAGAAGCTGCGCGGGTTGGCGGACGTGACCCGGGACCTGCAGGAGATGAAGGAGGAGGGGCGGCAGATGATGCGGGAGAAGAAGGTCACCATCCCCGAGCTGTTCCGCTCGCCCCTCTACCGCCAGCCCATCCTCATCGCCGTGGTGCTGCAGCTGTCCCAGCAGCTGTCCGGCATCAACGCCGTGAGTGCCCCACACCCGCCCTCCCGTGGCCCCAGCCAAGCCCCGTGGTCAGGTGCATGCTGTGGACAGAGCCCCCGCCAAAGGGGCCTTCCTGATCACCAAACTGCTGCAGCGTCCCCGTCCTCCTGGGCCCGCCCTGTGTCCCGGCCCCCCCGCCCCCCCCCCCCGACCCCGGCGCCCATGACTCCTCTGTCCCCAGGTCTTCTATTATTCCACGAGCATCTTCGAGAAAGCGGGCGTGCAGCAGCCTGTGTATGCCACCATCGGCACCGGCATCGTCAACACCGCCTTCACGGTCGTGTCGGTGAGTCTGTGAGTCTGTGCCCGTCCTTGCCCGCCCGCCCCCCCCCCCCCCCCCCCCCCCGGTCAGCAGCCAGGGTCCAGCTTAGAGCCTCTCGGCCGCATGACTGAGTGGCAGCGCTTACTGCGGGCCAGGCCTGTGTCATGTGCTCCCTGAGTGCCTCGTCCTCAACTCATCAAGCTCATTACTCCTATCAGACAGCTGATGACACGGATGCTCAGAGATGAGCGATGCTTGCCCAAGGTCACGGTCGGGGTGCTCGGCTGTCTGGCTCTCCAGGGCCAGCTCTCAGCCCCCTTGGCTCCTGTCGGGCTTTAGTGCCAGCCTCCCTTCCCTCACTCCCCGTGTGGCCCCCACGCCGAGTCCCCGGGAGGAGGGGGTACCATCTTCTCGTGGTCCCTGCAGTGCCACGTGGCTTTCCCACTCTTGGGGCGAACCTCTGGGTGGGGGGGGGGGGGTTCAGCGTGGCACCATGTGGTGTGTGGGGGGGTGCACTGACATTCTCTCTGCCCACAGCTGTTTGTGGTGGAACGAGCTGGCCGGCGGACGCTGCACCTCATTGGCCTGGCTGGCATGGCGGGCTGTGCCGTGCTCATGACCATCGCTCTGGCATTAATAGTGAGTTGGCACCGTGTGAGGGGTGAGGTGGCAGGGTGGGTACAGAGCTCACGGGGGCTGCTTCTGATTCCAAAGTGCCTGCCTCAGCCCCAGCCTGGCCGTCGGCACCAGAGGCTGGGGTTGCTGATCTCCCTAGTTCTGCACTCTGCCCACTCGCATCCTGCCCTGCACGGAGCTGGCTCCTCCCTGCACGGAGCTGGCTCCTCCCTGCACGGAGCTGGCTCCTCCCTGCACGGAGCTGGCTCCTCCCTGCACGGAGCTGGCTCCTCCCTGCACGGAGCTGGCTCCTCCCTGCACGGAGCTGGCTCCTCCCTGCACGGAGCTGGCTCCTCCCTGCACGGAGCTGGCTCCTCCCTGCACGGAGCTGGCTCCTCCCTGCACGGAGCTGGCTCCTCCCTGCACGGAGCTGGCTCCTCCCTGCACGGAGCTGGCCCACCACAGCACTCCAGCCGCAGACCCCAAGTCCCCTCTCCCCGCGAGTTGCTTGGCCCGATGCTGACCCTTTAAGTGTCTTCATCTGTGAACACATGCCTGATCTCACTCAGTTCTCACAACTCCGTGTAGCTCAGTCAGTAGTCAGTCCCATTTTACAGATGAGGAAACCTAGTCCCAGGGAGGTTAGTAACGTGGCAGATAAGGACAAAGTCAGGCACTGACCGCGGGCCTGCTGGCTGCAAGCCCTTGAGGAACCTCTGTGATAACCTGTGCCAGGCACTTCACGTACTCGAACCCTCATGTGTCCAACCTCTGCGCAAGGAAGGCGCCAGTACGCCGGTTTTACAGCTGAACTGAGACTTAGAAAGTCCCATGATTTCTAAGAGGCCCGGCACACAGTGACGAGTGGCAGATCTGGGTTCTGGGCCAAAACCCATAACCTCCTCTGTGGCCTCCTCAGGGTGGCAGTGATTCCATATAGAACCACACGTCTGAGGCCTATGCTGTGCCGGCCCTGAGCTGGGTGCCTTGCAAGGCTTCTGACACCCGCCACCGGCAGACTGGCTTGCACCCAGAGCAAGGCCGCAGGGATCTCTTCTTAGCGCTCCTGCAGGCACAGCGTGACCATCCCCGGAGGGCGGATGAGCTCACCACCACCATGCAGGGCGTCAATCATTTTGTTCCCATGAGGAAACTGAGCCCCAAGGCGGGCTACTTCACTCCCTCTGTAAATCCAGGATCAGCCCCAGGCCTGCTGCTGTCCAGCCCAGCCCGCCTCTGCAATCTGTCTCCTGAAGCTCCCATCTAACACTCCTCCCCTCTCTCTCTCTTGTCCTATACAGGAGCAGGTGCCCCAGCTGTCCTATCTGAGTATCGTGGCCATCTTTGGCTTTGTCGCCTTCTTTGAAGTTGGTCCTGGCCCCATCCCATGGTTCATTGTGGCCGAACTCTTCAGCCAGGGCCCCCGCCCGGCTGCCTTTGCTGTTGCCGGTTTTTCCAACTGGACCTCGAACTTCATCGTGGGCATGTGCTTCCAGTATGTGGAGGTGAGAGCCCCCGTTTCTCCGCACACCATTCCTCCCCTGCCAAGGGCTCTCCCAGCTGTTCCCATTGGACTGAGTCTCAGAAGCCCAGGCTACCCGGCTGAGAGCCCTGACCTCAGCCCCAGGGTTCTTTCCTTGGCTTTGAATTATCTCCACTCTGCTCTGCAATGGGCACCTGCACCCCTGGAGCCTATTGCATGCCCACTGTAGGCAGGCAGGCTCTCCTTTAATCACCCCAGCACTCCTGGGCTGTAGGTGGGTTTTCCCTTTCTCAGATCAGAGGCCTCAAGAGTAAAGTGACTTATCAAAGATTCTAGCTGAGACCGGTTTGGCTCAGTGGATAGAGCTTCAGCCTGCGGACTGAAAGGTCCCAGGTTCAATTCCGATCAAGGGCGTGTACCTTGGTTTCGGGCACATCCCCAGTAGGGGGTGTGCAGGAGGCAGCTGATAGATGTTTCTCTCTCATCGATGTTTCTAACTAAGAACTCTAGTTTCTAACTCTCTTCCTCTCTTTAAAAAAAATAAAAAAAATAAAGATCCTACAGCTAGAATGTGGAGAGTCAGGACTCTAAACAAGCGTGTCTGTGTCTTTCAGCAACTGTGTGGCCCCTACGTCTTCATCATCTTCACGGTGCTCCTGATTCTGTTCTTCATCTTCACCTACTTCAAAGTTCCTGAGACCAAAGGCAAGACCTTCGATGAGATTGCTTCCGGGTTCCGGCAGGGGGGAGCCAGCCAAAGCGACAAGACACCCGAGGAGCTGTTCCACCCCCTGGGAGCCGACTCCCAGGTGTGAGGAGCCCCCCCACCGCCGGCCCAGCCCGTTCCCAGCAGCCCCGAGGGTCTCCGAGCACTGGCCGCTGGACACGACTTCCACACTGACACATCTCAGCAGAGCTGGGCCTGGGCTCCTTTCTTCAGCCAGCAGTGATGTCCAGAAGCATATTCAGGACTTTTTAACGCCTCCAGGGTTTTAACAAAAGCAAGACTGTTGCTCAGGTCTATTCAGACGAGCAACAGGTTTTATAATTTTTTTTTTATTACTGATTTTATTATTATTTTTGTATCAGCCAGAGTCTCCTGTACCCACACTTCAGGCTCCACCCTGAATGGCTCAGTGCCTGAGGGTGGGGACGAAGTCCTGCCTAGACGCACTTGCCTTTTTCACCAAGCTAATTTGTAGGGCTGGATCTATGACCAAGGACACACTAATCGAACTATGAACTACAAGGCTCCTACCCCTAGAGGTGGCCAGGGCCACGTGCTCGTGCGGCCCTGAATCTCCCCACCCTAGGGGTCAGGCTCCGTTAGGATTCGCCCATTTCCGTCTCTTCCTACCCAACCACTCATTAATTTTTCCTTGCCTGAGACCAGTTTGGGAGCACTGGAGTGGAGGGAGGAGAGGGGAAGGGCCAGACTGGGCTGCCAGACTCTAGTCTCCTCTGCACTGAAGGCCGGACGATCACCACGAGAGGAGGGCCGTGGGGGACGGAGAACTCAACTACTCAAGAACACGCGGATGCTCCTGCCCTGCTGTGTATAGATAGAAATATTTATATATTTTTTTGTCAATATTAAGTACAGACACTAAGTTATAGTATACCTGGACAAACCAACTTGTAAATACACCACCATACTCCTCTGTAACTTACCTAAACAGATATAAATGGCTGGTTTTTAGAAACATGGTTTTGAAATACTTGTGGGTTAAGGGAGGAAGGTTTGGGTGGGAGTGGGAGAGAAACAAGCAGTTGCAACGGCTACACTTGGTTTAGACTCTTTGACTCTTGGAAGCACCTGTAATCAGCACCCTCTATGTTCAGGAAGCTGATCTCTGTTACCCAGAGAAAATTTAAACGTCTTGACATTCGCGGCATCCCCATGTTCCTTCATATATGCTAGTTGGCATGCAAAACGCATGATAGTAGTGTGCAAATCTTGATGGTTGGGCCTTGATATGCGATATCTTGCATGCGAGGTAGGTACTATATCAATGTTTGACAGGCTCAAAGAGGTTATATGCCTGAAGTCTCAGGGGAAATATGCTAACCACCCTGCCTTTACCCTACCTCCTCATATACCAACCCCCCCAACACACACACACACACACAACACACACAACGTGAATCATGTTCACTGCATGGCCAGTGAGCTGTTAAACTGCCTTCTTCCATCAATTTCACTTGGAAATGCCCCCTCTGGTTCCAGTTTATATCCTTTCTTAAGACTTGATCCTCCTACCCTACCCCATCTTCCCCCCCACCCCTTCCTCCCCCCCCCCCCCCCCCGCCAATTTCCAGATCATTTCTCCTGTTCCTTTCCTATGGCACTATCCCCTTCCACCCTTATTGCAAATTCCTAATTTTTTCCCACTAGTTTCAAGTTAATGGGAAGTCTCTTGGGTTCATCTGGATCCACAGATGCAGGGCTTGGCACGCACCAGGCATTCAAATAACTGATGGAATGAAGCACCAACTTTATTTGTCCCTAGAGGCTCAGCTGACAAAGTCTGGGAGGAATTTCCTGTTGAAACCTTCATAACTGCACACACGCAGCAAAACTGCTTGGCAAGAAGAGGGGTTATAGGGAAGGGCGAAGGAGGGAAAGCAGGTACAAGTAATGGGGGGTGCCTATGAGGTGTGTGTCAGGTAAAGATAACCTGAGAATTGAGTAGGAAGGGGAAGCCCTATCACTTGCCCCCCCCCCCCAAAGGAGTTGTCTGTCACCTTCACTGGGTGGCCCCCAGAGGACAATGCAGAGAAGAGTCAGGGGTGCTATCTAGAATAATAAAAGCATAATATGCTAATAAGACTGGACATCCTTTCAGATGACCTAAACAAAGCCAGGGCTGCGAGGAAAGCCCGGGTCCCTGGTGCCAGAGGGAATCCGGTGCTAGCAGCCAGGAGGAGGAAGGCCTACTCCTGCACGGTTTTCATGCATGGGGCCTCTAGATGAGTCAGAAAATCCCAGGGCTGCCAGACAGCAGTTAGCAGAGGATGGAAAAACACGCGCTAGAGGCAGGAGCTTAAGGATGCAAAGCAGATGGCCATCAGGGCCTGAGGCTCCTCCACGCCCAAGGCCCAGAAGCTGGGCAGAGCCCGGCCGCACCCGAGCCCCGCCCACCGCCAGGTTCCCTCCCGCGCTGGCACTGGGTTCGCACCACCCGCCAGCCATTTCCCCCGACGGAAGTGCGTGCATGCGCCCGGAGCTCGGCGAACTGCCGCGCCCACAAGGCTCGGGGAGGCGCGGCTTCCGGCCCTGGACACCTTCCCCAGGAACCGCAGGCTCCCGCAGGCATGGGTGCGGGGCCGGCCGACCCCTGGTGTCCTCCCCAGACCTGACAGCTGCGGTCCAGCCCCACCCAGAGGTCGCCACCCACCCGGTTAGCCTCCTCTCGCCGCCCGCAGGGGGCGGTGGGGGCGCCCGCCGATCACAGCCTGGCTGCTCGGCGCCCGAGCCTCGGGGATGCTGCAGCCGGGCTCCTGGGAGTTGCATTTTCTCCAGGAGCGAACGCCGGTTGCTATTTTAGCGACGGCATCCTGGGGAAAGGAGCTCCCTGGGATACCTGTGGCACATTAGTTGATGCCTATGGTTTCTGACAAAGGGGTAAATGAGTCGCGGAGCAGACCCCTTTCTTTTCCAGTGCTTGGTTTAAGTTCACGGACAGTTCTGTGAGATCCTTTGTCTGCTATTCTGGGCTCAAAACGCTTCTCTCCCTGGAAACCTTACGGATCGTTTTCCCTGATGGACCCATAGCATCCTGTACTTCTCCCACCAAAGCCCTCCCCACCCTGTCCTCCCACCAGACTGGGGAGGCAACTGCGAGGTCCTTCCCTTGTCCCCCGTTCCCACCACCGACGCTGGTCAGGACGATGAGTGAACTAGAATTCGCACACCACGAAGTTCCACAACCTGAGTTTTTCCTGTGCAGGTTTTAGGCAGAAAATCCAATTGAGACTGTGTACCAGGGAAAGAGTATTAATTCTCCTCCTTCCTAACAACACTTTTAATTATCCCTTTCTCATCCTATTATTATAATTTCTTAAGCCTCCTAGAAATCTTACCCCTTCCATCCATTGCAATTGCTGGCCCTAGTGTGGACGGACCTCTTATCACCTCTTGCAAAACCACTGAAGCACCTCCTCACTGTTCGGCTCCTGTCTCTTCCCCCTCATTCTCCATGCTGCAGCCTTTTTAAAAAATATATATTTTATTAATTTTTTACAGAGAGGAAGGGAGAGGGATAGGGAGCTAGAAACATCGATGAGAGAGAAACATCAATCAGCTGCCTCCTGCACCCCCCCCCCCCACAGGGGATGTGCCCGCAACCAAGGTACATGCCCTTGACCAGAATCGAACCTGGGATCCTTGAGTCCACAGGCCAACGCTCTATCCATTGAGCCAAACCGGTTTCGGCCATGCTGCAGTCTTAATCATCTTTCTACAATGCAAATGTAGGCATGCCTCTCCTTCTTAACATGTCCCCTGGGTCTCCAGTTCCCTTCGGATAATGTCCAGATCCCTTAACCTGGAAATTCAAGGCCATTCATGATCCATTTCTAGCTCAGATGCAGCCTCATCTCTCACCAACCACCCCACCCATCCCCAGCCACTGGTCACTCTCTCCTCTGACCTCCATACACCAGTGATCCTTCCCCTATGGGCCTTGGGGGTTCCCTCCACACAGATTGCCCTTCCATCTGCTCACATTGCCCACCAGGTGATCATGTCCTATCATGGTCCCAGGAATTGGCTGGGGAAGCTGCTACAGGCGTTTCTTGGGACACTGCTGCCTACTAGTGGCTGTTGTGTGAACAACTATGTCGGGGCTCGTTTTAGCTCAACCTTTCAGGGATTCAGAGAACAGGTTGCTTTGGCGATCACCCTTCTTTTACAAGAAATCCATTTGGTAACCCTGCACCCCACAATGACTTTCTGAAGTCAGTGTCTGACCATATTACTCTACCGCTTAATGCTCTGCCTTAATGTCTTATGGTGAAACCCAAATTCCTTAATCTAGCAGACAAGATCTTTCACATTCTGATTTTTGGAGATGCTAGCTCCTAATACAGTCCTTCGACACCCCAAGATCCAGCCACACTGATTGCTCAGTGTTCCCTGGATGGTTCCTAATCACCTAATTCTAAAACTTGTTCAACTTCTTCTTTCTCCTGGTCTGCCTTTGGTCTCTCAAAAAGACCAAATTAACTGTCATGTTCTGTATGAAACATTTGTTCATTCCTTCAATTGTTACTTACCAGAACATACATTCTTGGCTAGACTTTCTCCTAAGCTCTGTGGTGTCTTGGAAAGAACATGATTTCCAGAGTCAGATAGAGCTGACTTCAGATTCCTACCCTGCCACTTAGTTGAATAACCTTGGGTAAGTCACTTCACCTTTCTGATCTTCAATTTCCTCAGCTGTGTTGTGATATTAAGATGAAATAAGGCCAAAACCGGTTTGGCTCAGTGGATAGAGCGTTGGCCTGCGGACTGAAGAGTCCCGTGTTGGATTCTGGTCAAGGGCATGTTCCTTGGTTGTGGGCACATCCCCAATAGGGGAGTGCAAGAGGCAGCTGATAGATGACTCTCATCCATGTTTCTAACTATCTAGCTCTCTCCCTTCCTCTCTGTAAAAAATCAATAAAATATATTTTTTTAAAGATGAAATAAGATAATGTATTTGTAATGCGGGTATTAATTGGAGTTACCCTATATTCTCCCTTTCCCCCCTTCAGAAAGTCCAGTCCTCATGCCCAAGATTTCTGTGAATTCCCAGGGATCTCTTTCATTTTTTAATTTTTTTAATTTTAACTTTACTGCCAAAAAAAAAAATCTTATTAATTCAACAATACATATATCTTTGACATCTTTCCCGATGAGCTTGTTTAGGTTAAATGAGTATAAAACTCCAACTTGCTCATCTAGAAAATGGGAATCTTATCTATTGTGCCTGCTTGTGTAATAACATGGATTATTATACAATTCGGATGCGATAGCTAGTAGATGTCTCTGTTATTCCTTGTTTACACACTTATGTTTTGCATAAAATAAGTACAGGCTGTATTCCATGAAAGGGATCTATTCAAACTTGTCTTTGAGTCATTGCATCTTGTCTTCTCTTTGCCCCACTATATGTAAATAAAAGCAGATAAAAGTTACTGTGCATTTGTTGCAAAGTTACACACCAGCTGTCTTGTGCTGAGAGAGATGTCTAAAGACTTTAATCCTACAGGAGGCACTAGCAGATGGAAGTCCAAGTTTCAGTGTCACTTCAGAAATACCTAAGGCCCCAGGGCTGGAAAGTTCTGTGATTGCCCAACTCATCCCTTGTTATCCTTCCTAGGGTCATATTTTTAAAGTTCTTTTAGAGCTTTTCCCCAAAAATAACAAACTAAAACTACACCAAAAATCATATATGCCCTCTTTTATTTATTTTTTAAAAATATATTTTATTGATTTTTTTACAGAGAGGAAGGGAGAGAGATAGAGAGCTAGAAACATCGATGAGAGAGAAACATCGGCCAGCTGCCTCTTACACACCCCCACCGAGGATGTGCCCACAGCCAATGTACATGTCCCTAACCAGAATCGAACCTGGGACTTTTCAGTCCACAGACCGACGCTCTATCCACTGAGCCAAACCAGTTTCGGCATGTATGCCCTCTTTTAAAATTTAGTTGG